CTTATTTCCTCAGACCTAGTTCAATTATTTCACTTAAATAGTAACACTTTAACAAATTAAAGTGCACATGTAAATCCCTGACTTGAGTATAATTTTTAATGTGCATCTAAACCACATGACTTCATTTACACAATCTCCCCACCTAGACAAATACAAATTAGGAAAGAAGAAGGGAGGGAGAAAAGAGAAGTGTGGAGGAAATCTTAGGTTACTCATTAAAACTTTTTTTTTTAAATTTTATTTATTTGTGTGTGTGTGTGTGTGTGTGTGTGTGTGTGTGTATGGCCAGCTCAGCCCACCAGGGGGCGGGGCTGGCTGGCATGTGGTGCTGGGGGATTGAACCGCGGTCCCTGTGCTTTGCTAAGCTTGTTCTAAGTAGGTGCTTTAGACCACTGAGCCATCTCACCAGCCCCTACTCATTAAAACTTTAAAATTCTCACAGTGCTGACATTCACGGTGAAAAGAGTAAGGGCAAGAATAAAGCCAAGACTTTCAAGATTAAGTGCAACAGTGACCAAGAGCTACAGATCTGCCAGCCGAACAGCTATGCTAACTCTAAAACCAGCGCGAGGCAGCAGAGAAAATCAGCTTAGACCCTGGTCAGATCTGCTCCCATTTTACAGAAGAGGGGCTGAGGCCGGGACAAAGCAAATAATTTTGCTCACCACGGCTTCAGTTCAAAGCATGACTCATAGACAAGAAGCACCTGAGAGTGCAGTAGCAATGCAGGATCGGGCCGGGCGTCGTGGCACGCAATCCCAGCACTCAGAAGGCGGAGGCAGGAGGATTGTTTTGAGTTTGAGACCAGCCTGGGCTGCAAAGTGAGCTCAAGATCAGCCTGAACTGCATAGTGAGACCTTGTGTCAAAAAGACAAAAAAAAAAAAAAAAAAAAAAAAAAAAAAAAAAAAAAAAAAAAAACAAGATCACAAGATCTCAGCCCCCGCCCAGAACTTTGAGTTAGAATTGCGTCTGCACAAGTCCACAGCTGCTCAGCTACACCTTCCTTCAGGCTTGAGAAATGTTGACAGGTGCACTTTGCTGCCAACACATGCGCAGAGTGGGTCACTTGCACTCAGTGCTTTATTTGTATGTAAGCTGTACAAGCAATGACTGGATTCGGTAGGCAGCTTTCAATCCTTTGGTTCTAAAGTCTGCACCTGTGAGCTTTAAGTCAGGCTGCTGCCCCCTTGGAGCCCTGAATGAAGAAGACCATGCCCATGCTGCTTGCTGAGACTGCTCTCGGCCGGTTCCCTCCTCTGTGATGCCCAACTGGGGAGCTCTGAGAAGCCAAGAAGAGGGCACCGACACCTTTAGGGCAGCATTTGCTGTAGAGTGACGCCAAAGTGAGGGTCAACTACCCAGGGGACTTCTGCGCTGAGCTAGGCATCCACGCATCCCCCACACACTTCAACCCGCCTGCTGCAGTAGGGAGTATCTGCGCAGCCCTGGTCACAGAGCAGAGCCAGGGAAAGCCCTCAGCAGGGGAAAGGTATCAGCCAACGCTTCTACATTAGTAGTAAGCCTCATAGTCAGGTGCGTAATCAATGACATGCAAGTAGACTGTGTAAGTAAAATATAGTGCTGAGTAATTTTCAGTAATAAGCATTACTCCACATACGACCAAGTACTGAGTTCCTAAGTTTTGACTGTTTATAAAGCATTTAAAGAATGAATAAAAGTTATATAATTGAATATTCAGTTCAAGGCTCAGAAACAATAGGTGGCACTGTAGGGTGGTCAGCAGGAGCACGTGCCGGAGCACAGACACCTGGGTGAGTGCTGCACAGGAAGCAGGGGTGGGAGACTCTGGTGTGTCATCCCTGCAAGACCAGCCCTGAGCCAGGCAGCCAGGGCGAGCCACAACAGGCAAAGCTTATAACTCAAAAAGTATGAAATGAAGACCAAAAATTAGAACCACAGATCTGGAGTTTCTGGCCTATTAGACCTAAACAAATGCTTTTGAGGAATTCAACGAAAGAGCTGGGCGAGGCTTCAGGGTGCTCTATAGCGAGACAGCTCCTTCACAGCAGGAGGAGTGGACTCAAAAGACCCTTGAGACGGGAAGACACCACAGAGGCTAGGAAAGCCTACAGCATAATTCAGGAAGCCTGGGGGATGACTGAAGAGAAATCTCTGCTTCCCACACTACATGTTCGCAAAGGGTATCCTGTCTCCTGCCTAGATATGCCACAAGCTCAGCAGGGCCAGCCTTTCCCATGTCTCCTGTCCTCCCAGTTGGGGAAGGTTTTTGCCTAGGATTGTAATTACCCCAGACATTCTTCTTTAAGACAGACTAATGCCACTGCCAAAGTCTTTTATTCCCCTCTTACTGATATAAAAACAGCCAGTCTACACAGTTAAAAATATCACCAATGCTTCTATACTAATGATCTCACTTACCACCAACAACACTATTATACCTGAAAACAAGCCATTCCATGATGAAACTGAATATAAATATGCAATAGAGCTAAGTTACAGAATGCTCCTCCTCAGCAGAGACGTCCGAACCCTGGAACCTGGGAATATGTAACCCTACGTACTAACGGAAGTGACAGAGAAAGGGTCTGACAGAGGGACATCATCCTGAATCACCCTGCTGGGCTCTGTGCAGCCACAAGAGCCCTCTCACACGAGGAATGCACAAATGCAGAGAGACCATGAGGAGGCCAGAGGGAAGCAGAGGGGCAGGCCACGTGATGTGTGGCCAGGAGCCACACAGATTCCACTTGGTGCCCCCCAGAAGGAATAGGTCCTGCTGACACTTTCACTTTCAGGCAGGCTGATTTGGGATTTCTGCTCTCTAAATGATAAGATAATAAATGTATGTCACCTAAAACCAATCAATCAGTGGTCACTTGTAATAGCAGCCATAGAAAACTAATATGTATCTTGGTGTCTGAAAATAAGATGCTGCTTGTCACCATCGTGCACGAATGTGTGAGCCCATGTGTAGGGAATTTTGAGCACTATAATATAAAGTGGCCAACTGCCAAGAACACACTGTTGAGGGATCCTAAAGACTCCAATGCTCAAAGGAGGAAGCGAGGATCTTCTATAGAGCACATCTAATTCATCACAAACAAACTGATGGTAGAAGTATGGACGTCAAAAGGAAATGCGGACCATGCTGGAAACTGGAGAGAAAGGGCCCCTGTTACGTGACATGGAGCTGTGCGAGACAGCGTGAGAGCTTCCCAAAGTGCTGGAAAGACATTGCCCCAACACAGTGACCCCCGAGCAGGACAGCAGACAGAAAACTATGCATAGGTCAAACTGTGGGAAAAGAAAGTAAAAAAAAAAGGCAATGAAATGGTATGTTTAAAAAGATACAAGAAAATCTGGCAATGAGATACCTATGCCTCTAGAATACATTCCTAAGAAATGAAGGTGAAACACCTGCATTTCTAGACAAACAAAAGCTAACAAAATGCACCTTGCACTAAAGCAGAAGTTCCCTAGACTGAAAAAACCAAACAGCTGTGCAGGGAACTATAAAGACTGATGGGGACCACTACGAAGCAGCCCCAAGCATGACCAATGGGCTTCCCTGTTTACTTTTGCGTCTGCCCAAGGCCTAGGCCCCTTGTCTGGAGATGTGCAGCAGACCCTTAGTAAGGAGAACCTCTGTGAGTCACCAATCCCAAATGAGGCCTGTAATGGCAGGTGAAGGTGGACCACCTTAGGATAAGACAAGGTCCCAACCAAGGGCCCCTGGAGCTAACCTCAACTAGATAAAGACTGAGCCCCAGGCATCTCACTCCAGGGCAGATTAACTTAATATCTTACTTGGAGAGTTCTTGAATGGTTCTGCCCTTCTTGAGTACTCCCCTTTCTTCTGACAACTAAATAAATTTGGGCCTCTCGGAGGCCTTGGTCTTATCCCTGAGAGAATCTCGAATCCTGTGAGATGGCTTCAATTAACCAACTAGAAAGGAAAAGTCACTCAATGGGATATAGGTTGATAATATCCCTTAAGTATTGTGCACTGACTTAAAGACTGGGCAGGCACAAACCACTATGCTGGGAAAAACCAAGATCTATAGCCAGAAATAAGGATCAGCAGGCTAAACATCAGGAGGAGCAGGAAGCAATAGTTTTCATTTCTTCAAAAGATAATTGAATATCTCAAGCAAATGTTATAACATATCATGGATTATAATATATGGGAAAAGAAAATACAACAATACAAAGAATAAGAGAGGCAAAAAGAATTTTACTAATATAAGGTTGTTAAATATTTCACAAAATTGTATAAGATTTTTTCATGGTGATGTGCAATGATGAATTATGCATATTATAATCTAGGGTAAGATTATGCATTTATAATCTAGGGGAGCCACTTAAAACTCATATAAAAGTGAAACTCAACAGCGATGAAGGAAATAAAATGGAAGAGGAAAACAAAAGCTATAAACCTCACTTTCAAAACAACAGAATAAAGAATAGATGTTGAAATTAGGGAAGCAATAAAAAAAATGACAGCACTACTCCCAGTCATATAAGTAATTATATTAACTGGAAGTAAATTTAACACTTCAACCAGGAGGTAGAGATTTTAAGTCTCGGTTTAGAAAACAGATCCAAGACCATGCTTTTTTACATGATCCATTTTTATCAGAAGGACACGGAACATAATCAATACGAAGGTATTTATGACTTTGCAAACACTAATCCTAAGCCAGTACGTCTATATCATTATCAGCAAAGATAAATTTTAAAAGAAAAATAGCCCCAGTGATCAAGACGAGTACTCCATCTGGCAAAGCCCAAGGCTGGTTCTCTGCTTCTCCTAAGGTTGCTGAATCTCTTTTCTTCTGTATATCACTGCTGAAGGCTCAGAAGTCCCAGCCCCAGAAGTGACTGTGAGCCTCCATTAAAGACCTTTTCAAATTTACATTATTTTAAAATTTCAATAGTTTTTGAGCATGCTTTGTGGTGCTCTCAGTCTTGACGATCGTTTTTTTATGATTACTTAATTCTTAGAAAGTCCTCATACCTGAAACTTCACCTTCTGATGAATGTCCAACAGGCGGAACTGTTTCAGGAAGCGGTCGTCCTCGCTCCAGAAGAGGCGGATGTCCGGGATGTCGTAGAGGGTCATGGCCAGTCTTTCTAGCCCTACACCAAAGGCCCAGCCAATGCGATCTTGTGCTCCAGCTAAAAACAGAGAACAAGACAGCTGTGCAGGAAACGATAAGGGCTGTAAGCACCAAACAGGCACAACCGCTCCCTGGTGAGCAACAATGATGCTGCACGCCTGGAGCAGCAAGGCTTGGGGGCTGACCTCTGGGCTCACCAGAGAGAGTGCTCAGGTTCCCTCTCTCTACATCTCCACTTTCCTTTCCTCTGGAATCTTTTCTCACTCTCAGTAAAATATCTACCCTACTTGGCATAAGTTACAGAAGAGGGAGGGAAGGTAGGCTTCATGCCTAAGTGGTTTACTATGTAGGAATCTAGGTTCGTAACGTGCCACAGTGGACTGTTAACGTGCAGGAAGAATGTGTCTTTAAGAAGCTCAACTTTATTAAAACAAGGTAATGATGACTCTCGCTAAGATCGTGAGGCGGAATGCCCATCTAGCACCATTTACTCCAGGGAAAAGGTTCTATCAATGCCATGAGTTCTAAGGGTACATCCCATGATATGAAGCCAAATGAGAGAGAGGCTAGAAATTGCTGTATAGAGGAAGACAACACTACTGGGGAAGCATATATATACATAAAAAAAAAAAAACCCTCCAGAAATGAATGGAATTTCAACTAGCCAAGGATGGGAAGGATCCTTAGGTAGGCTGAGATGTTTCTGAAATTCTCAGCCTCCATGTGGCCTGCAGAAATACCACTCTTCCAGTGTGGCTGGGACCAAGAAAAAGGATGGATTTCTAGTGGCCTGTGATTAGCGTTCCTTACACAACACCCCAGGGTGTGGGCTGGAGTGCGCTCCCTGCTGGCCATTATGTGGTGAGGGCCTTGAGGCTAGGACCTAGGATGCCTCCCAGAGGCAAGTGGGGGCTCAGCAGAAGAGGAACCTCACCCCTAATCATAAGGAACAAATTCCCCTAACAGTCTGCTGGGCTGAGAAGTGGACCCTGAGCTCTAAAAGAGAGTACAGCCTTGCTGATCTATTGATGTCAGGGCTGTGAGACTCTGAGCAATATACACCCACATCTCTGCACAAGGGAACTATGGGAACCATGGCAATACCTTTGTGTTCTTCAAAGCCACTGAGCATGAGAGGATTTGTTGTTGGGTGGGTTTGCAGACTGATCCACAGATACACACACACACACACACACACACACACACACACACACACACTCTGACAGCAGAGGAGTGGAGTAGCTCACGGGTTGAGAAGCTGCTTCTGGAGCAGTGGGCGACACTGGAAGGATTTTTTTTAATGTTATGTCCAATCCTAGCAATGTAATTCGTTCTAGCATTCTCATTTATTGTTGGTTACATTTTATACCTTTATAACAATTTGAAAAATGATGTGGCAATATATACCTATGAAGAACTATGAAACTATTCACATGCTTGATTATATGACTTCAGTAAGGAACTCTATCCTAAGGAAGGCAATAATTAAACAAATGCAAAATGATAAAGAGAAGTATCTGCAGCAGTAGTACTTAAAATAACAAAAACACACAAGCAGCCTAAACATCTAACATTAGAAAACTGCTGAGATGTGCTAGTTTTTGTATTGGCATCATCAAAAATCATGAACATATAAATGCTTATTATATACTAACTATAATATGAAAGCAGCTATGATAAAATGAACATGTACTATGGTGTTACCACTTAATACAGGTATAAATGAGGATTACAGTATAAAAAATAAAAGAATATGTACACAAGGATTACAAAGGATCATAGTTCAAATAATTTCATTTTTAAATTAATAAAAAACTGTATTGTTTCTATTGTACAGCATGACTTTCAATATGAATCTATGAATCATTGCTTCATGTACTTATACTTTTTGTGAAGAAAACATCAAATATCTGGTTTTTTAGCAATTTTCAAGTAAACAATTTATTGTTAAGTCTACTCACCATATTGTGCAATAGATCTCCAGAGCTTATTTATTTCTTTGACTGAAAATTCTCTGTAATACTTACAGATTTTTCAAGAAAAAAAATGCAAACAAAGGTATGCAGGAGTGTAATGGTTCTTTTCTGTCTCAGGCTTTTCTTTCATCATTAAATCTTACACATTTTATTGTCAAAGGTCAGACAAAACCAACTACATAGCAACCAGTATCTGTAACTACCCAGATTTACAATATTTGATTTTATTTAATGTTTCCTCATTTTTTACTTTGTTCTTTCACCCATCATCTCTCACTTTTTTTGTGGAGTTCCCCAACTCCACAAAACATTTTCTGAGGCAAAAATTAAAGTAAGAAAGAAACCTAGAAGTAGCTAAAAAAAAAAAAGAGCAATAATTTAATTTTTTAAAATAGACAAAGAACAGTTACATATAAGGAATAATAATTTTAAAAAAGGTTGTTAAGCAAATGAAAAGCTTACCTAAGAAAAATGAAAGACAAAACTGAGTCAGGTTACCATCTCTTACTGACCAGAACGGCAAAATAAAAAACATCAGATCACATACTCGGTAGCAAAGCTGAAGAGAAGCGAATGCTCACGCACTGCTGGGAGCGTGCGTGTGCGCCTTGATCCTCAGACAAACTAAGGGATATGATATTGCATGCATAAAGTTAGAATGTATACACTATGTGCTACTTTAACTTTTAGAAAGTATTCTGCTCATGGAAAATTATGAATTTATAAGATTTTTCCTGGAGTATTCTTTATCACTGCACAGTACTGCCTGGTCTTAGTACAATGATTCCTAAAGATTGTGTGCAACTCAAATATTTGTCCATAAAAAAGTAGTTAAATACACTATGCTAGGATCACACAATGGGACTTGATTATAACAGCCTTGGACGGGTTTTTAAAAATTAAAATTGTCAGTTGTCTGGTTTGGGGGTATTGGAGGAAAGCAGGAAAAATGGGGAGACTTTACCATGTGTGCCTTTACACCTGGAGAGTGGTAAGAAATGTGTCACACTTAGGGCAATCTCCATTATCTGCAGTGCATGTGGAGCAAAGGACTTGAGCATTTTGGATTTCTGATTAGAGATACTAAGCCTGGAATAGAAAGTTTCAGGGCTAACCACATGGCAGTAATTTCTTTTCTGCTTATCTTTTTGTGGGGGTTGGCAAACTAGGGACTGAGCCCAAGGCCTTGCACATGGTCTACCACTCAATCACGTTTCATCAACTCTTCTTAAATTGTATTTTGAGCCAAGGTTGCTAACTTGAATGGGCTGACCTCACACTTGAAATCTTCCTGCCTTGGTCTCCCAAATAAGTTAGGATTATAAGCATACACCCCATAAAAACAGAGTATTCCCCTTTTGTCACATTAGTGCCAGGCTTTCAGGAAATTCATGATTAGTAAAAATGGACTGTCTTTCCCCCTTATATCTATTCTGGCCTTGCTCTAAGACCCCTTACAATTCCAAGTGTGGCAAGTCAGTTGTGCCATCTGTGGTGGGTTGGCACAACCTTTTGCAAATCCCTTGGCACCCCTCATCTTGAGGCTTGGTGCGACAGGATGCTTGGGCCAATAGAGTATCTGGGACTGATGCTGTGTGACTTCAGCGGTCACATTAGAAAAAGCCATGCAGCTCGATCCCAGGTGTGCCCTACCAGCTCCACAGCCAGGGCACATTGAGAAGGTGACTGAGACTGGGAGTGGTGGCCTGTGCCTGTAATGCCAGCGCTTAGGAGGCTGAAAACAGGAGGATCACTATGAGTCTAATCTGTGTAGCAAGACTCTGTAGAACCTGTACTAAGTACACTAGAAAGAAAGAAAGAAAGAAAGAAAGAAAGAAAGAAAGAAAGAAAGAAAGAAAGAAAGAAAGAAAGAAAGAAAGCAAACGAGCGAGCGAGCCATGCAACCACCTTCTGGTTTTCTTGAAATCTTGCTCTTCTCATGTGCAGTCTCAAGGTCTTCCCTCTAGAAGAGTCTCTCTTGAACTCCATTGCTAGGCTCTAAGAAGTCTCAGCACTAGAAAAAGACCTTGTCTTCCGACTGCACCAGGCCCTCCAGTGACCACACGTGCCAGCAGGTATGTCAGGGGAAAAGACTCGAGATGATCCCAGCTCCAGCCCAGAGTCCCCCAGGTTTAAACCTTCTGGATGAGGCACCTGTCACTGTGGGCGATGCCAGACAGCCTCCACGGTGTCCTGTCTGAATTCAGGACCACAGAATAGCCCATGACGACTTTCCTAGTGGGTCTGGAGTGGTCTATTACTCGATGAGAGATCAAAAGAGCATTCATCTTGCTAAGTCATGTACATTTGGCTCTTTTTTGCAAATATTTCCCATCATGATAAAGCTAAAGCTAACTACACTGCTGGCTCATGTTCTTCTGGCTATCAAAGTGATATAAATAAAATTAGGTGAAGTTTCAAATAGAAGCTATTAGGAGTTACAAGGTTAAAATAAAATGAATATTATATTACAATACCTAATTTATGCCATAATAATTCCTCTCCTAAAGCCCGTGCCACCTAGTATTATTCACAACATTGCTCTTCCTAGAAATAATCCAAACCACCCAAATCCCAGGGTACCCAATGCCCAAGAAAAACAGACACATGTGCACAGAACCATCAATATGCACATAATCTTAACAGTTTTGTTCATAATAGCCTCAAAGCACAAATAACTCTACTTCTATCAACTAGCAGATGATAAGAACTGTGGGGTATCCATGTAATGTAATATCACCTAGCAATAAAAATAAGTGATGCATATATACAACAGCATAAGTGAACGTCAAAGCATTATGCTTGGTGGAAGGAAACATTCTGGTAACAAAGAATACACAATATTATTTTACTTACATGACATTCTAGAAAAATGGGAAGCTAAAGAAGTAACAGATCGGTGGCTGAGGTAGGTTGGGGGTGGTTCGAATCTTCTCACTCCTGGCTAAGGGGTAATTATATGACTATATGTCCCTCAAAGCTCACTTCACTCTCCTTTAAACTTGTGGATTTTACTGTGTATAATTCTCAGACACCAGGCTGAGAGTCATGAGACTAGAGAGCAAAATACAACCCGCAAGCA